TGCTGCAAAAGCTGGAACGAAATCAGAAGCATAAAAATGCCATTTCAGTTCAACCCCAGCCCAAACTCATTATCCTTCCCCCTTCCCTGCAATTGACCAAACCAGCCAGGGAAAATGGCTCAATGTCTCCAAGAGCCCATTTTGAGATGGAAGTTTACAACTTCAGTGTTGGATCAGAGCATCCCAAAGTAGCAGCTGCTCATAGGGATTTGTATATTTGAGGATTAATAGTCCTGTATGATCTGGATTTAGACCAGAGCAATCCAGGTCATTTTCTCTCTGCAATGAACTTTTCCATTTACAAAAGGATGAAAAAACTGAGTACAAGCATGCCTCTGAGTAATAAACTCAAACTACTGAGTACTGTCCCCTGTCCTGGAAAAGGACTGCTCCCATAGCAGAGCTCAGCAAATGCAGAAGGTTTAATCCCGTTATCCAGAGGTTCAAATCATCTCCCTACCTCCTTCCTTTTCCCCCCACTCTTGATCTGACCTTCTACTTTTAAATATCTTTATCTTATCCCTATTCCCATGGTATCCCAATTCTAATTGCTTTAGACTTCTTAATATTAGAAGAATGAAAAGTGCTACATACAAGCCAAATAAGGCCCAAACACTAAACACCCCTTTGGATTACTCCAGGCGGTAGCAAATGGAATCATGCTGTTCAGTACTGAGCCTCTTTGGAAGGTGAATCCAAGCTAGAATGGAGCAGGCACCAGGCATACCATTCAGCTGTGCAGACCTGTCTCATTCCTTAAGGATATGTGCCTGAACATAAAGAATTGCTGTGGTAAGGTGAACAGAGAGCTGTAACATGCCAAGTGAATCTCCTCCTCAACCTCACTTCTAGGAGCAATCATCATAATTTTGAGCAACCACTGAATCATGGCTTGAACAAGAATAGGAATGAACACCCTCGCTATCATTCCACTCATCTCCAGATCTGCAAATCCCACCACCCACAAGCCACTGAAGCCATAATCAAATGCTTCCCTAGGACAAGCAGCTGCCTCAGCATTCGTCGTCTTTTGAAGTAGAACCAGTGTGACAGCAGCAAATTAAACCACCCAACGTCCTGCCCCTACTGACAGCAGCAATTGCAATCTAACTAGTCCCAGTCCTTTTCCATTTCTGATTCACAGGATTATTTAATCCCTAATCACTGCTATCAACAATTACTAAATTCACTGCCACCATTCTTGTCCTAAATCAGTCTACTCAAAATTATTAATCACCATAATGCCTGGTTCAACAGCTCTAGGAGACTGAATTAGACTAAATCAAACACAGGTTTGAAAAATCTTAAGCATTCTCACCTGAGTTGAATAGCCTAATAATAATTACGTCTGTAATAGCCAAACACCCCCTACTAACTTTCTACTTACACTTCCTTAAAACTGCCACAATAGTCCTCACTCTCAACACAAACAGAGTTCAAAAGCTACCAATGTTAATGGCCTAAAGAACAAAAATACCTACATACACAATAAAATCCCAGTATTAATCTTAGGCTTCCTAGCAGAACTTCCCCTGCTACCAGGCTTCCTGTTTAAATGACTTACCTTTGAAAAACTTCCTAAGCACACAATGACCAAAACAGACACATTCATTGTCATACTCTCACTACTAGGACTGCTTCTCCTCACATAATACTCACCAAACACACTTCCACCACTCCAAATAAAAGCCCTAGCAAAAACTTGCCCAACAAAATCCAGAAACCTAAATGATCATATCACTAAAAACTAACAAAAAATGAGGCCTAACAATTGAAACTGCAACTCAGAGTTAAGCTTAAATGTAACTCTAGCATTAATCCTAACAACTGTATCTCCATCCCTAAAAATATTTCAACTAACCCCTCACTTTAAAGTTAAGTCCAACATTTGCCCTAACCCTGAATGTAACCAAAATGACTGTAAATCTAACTCTACCACCTAATGCTATCCCTATAAGCAGTAACCCTGACCCTAAACTCAAAGCTGACTTTATCCCTCATGACTGTAACCCTAACCTTAAGCTCAAGCCTAACCATAATACAAATCCTTTACCTAAAATTTTAACACTGAGCATAACCCTGACCCTCTATTTAGCACTTTATTTAGCACTCTATTTGCACCTAATGACTCTTAAACAAAACCACACACAAAGGAACTGCAAAGGGAAGGTGAAGACGTAAAGAAAGTGCCTCACCAGTACCCTCGGGACCACAGTCCCTGAAATTTGCAGAATCCTGGGACTAAGGACCACAGAGCTCACTGGGCAGGCAGCCCTGAGTCCCATCAGCATGGGGCTGGACACGGTGCTGGGTGCTTTGTGCCTGGGATTACATACCCAAGTCCTTTGAGCAGGGATCCCTGAAGGATGATTTTGGTGATCTCCTCGGAGTGGCTGGTTAAAATCTTGCCAATCCTTGAGTTTCTTCAGGGAGCAGAACACACTGTTCGTTACGTCTTTTGATCCCGGGCTCTTGATCTGCAGGGCAATGCCCACTGAGAGGTGAGCAACAGGCTCACAGCTAGAAATTACCTTGTGGGGTATATTACTCATTCTAAATGGTAAGGCACTAATAATATTCTTGTTGGGAATTCCTCCAGTGGATGGAGGGAAATGTTAATGCATTCCAGTTGTTACTATTTTTTTCCTTTTCAAAGCTGGTAATGTGGGAAGATGGGTAAGTTGGGTGTGTGCCTCAGGGGGATTTGATTTTCAGTGATAACAGGCAGCGTATTAAATTGTGTTATGTTAATTTTTATATAACACTGTACATTACTGCTTATTTCACTTATGTTCCTGACATGGCAGCCTAGTACAGTGCAAAAATTCATCTTTCTTCCAGTCACTACATCTCCAAAGGATGGTATTTGGAGAGAAGGTCTTATATTCAGAGACTAGGGTCTCACCACAGACTGCTTCTGGAATCACTATGTTGCATTTTGGTTCCAGATTGTTGGAATTTGGTTTTCCCTTCCTCCTGGAGAAATCCACAACTTTCTGAATTAATTCTCTGTCTTCTTGATATATCTCTGTATCTTCTTGAGCTATCAATTTTATAGTTTTAGCAGAGTTGGCAATTTGGTGCAGTTAATTTGCTTTTCCATCTTTCCCAAGGGCTGAGGTGAGCCTGACTAGCCTCATATCCTGGACTGTCCTTCTTGACAATGGATATATTATCTGCCTTTTCCCAGTCACTGGGAGCATCCCCTCAATGGACATGACCTTTCAAGGATGATGAAAAGTGGCCTTGAGGCATCTGCCAGCACTTTCAGTGCTCTCAGATACACCTGCTGTGGTACAGAATCACAGAATCAGTATTGTTGGAAGGGACCACAGTGGGTCACCTGGTCCAGCCTCCCTGCTCAAGGAGAGTGGCACAGGAATGACAATTGAAGACACCCTTCTTGTTGTCCTTGACTCCTTGGTCAGTGTCAGGTAGGTAGTTTGACTGGGGCAGTACAAAATGTGCTGTCAAACCCTAACACAGGTGTCTGGTGAGTTCAGGGAGGACAGAAACCTCCCACAGAGCAGAAGAGCAAGGTTTGATCACAACTTTCAGTATAAACTGAATAAAATATAAAAAGTGGATGAGGAGTTGGAGACATGAGTCTCCACATAAGCAGCTTAGGCATCTAGGATGTTCTGCTCTGTCCCCAACAACCTGGGAAATTCAGGTTGTTCCTGCAAGGACTGGTCCCACTGGGGAAGACAAGGCTGTCAGGGCACCCCCACCCCCTGAGGGCCCAGAGAAGTGTCACAGGAAACCCACTGCCACATAGGGGGAGCAGGGCTGGGACTTCCACCATGACTCTACAGGACTAGGAGCTACCAGCTGCAGGGAAGTGGAAAAATCAGTCTTCCCTCATGGTCTGTACTGGCAGGTGCTCCCTGTCCAGCATCCCATAGGAAGCCCACATCCCCCCAGTTGATATCCAAGGCCTAAGAGCCCTGTATCTCCAAAACAATCCCCAAATCACCCCTCAAGCCCTGAAAGCAGTCCCACATATGCCTTTTGCTGGGCACCAGATGTTACCACTTCCATCAACATGCAAGGATCAACAAGCAGCACCTGGTCCCAGAAACACCAACCCCACCACTCTGTATGGCCTGGTTCCCTGCCCTCTTTCCCATCCCTCCCCATACCCTCTCACTGTTCCCTGAGCTGCCCAGGCAGGAAAAGCCACTTTGCAGGGTAGACTGTGTGGTCTGGGTGAGGATTCCAAACCCATGCTAACTTCACAAACAACCTCTGGGCTAAGCACATCCAGGTCACATCCTCACTTGACGATATCCTGCTCTCCCTCCACTCCCCTGTTCCTCACAAACAAGAAGAAGGCTTGTGCTAGAAGAAAACTGTTTATTTTTTTAAACAGAACTTTTTTTCAACTCTTGTTCCTTGGAGTTTTCATATTTTTTTGTAAAGATACATATTACCTGAACAACCTCTGCATATATATATATGTATAGAAAATATATCTGCATGCCTATATTTATAAACTTAAACAATCCTGCAAACTTGTATCACTCATAGTAGCCCTTCCTGCTTCACAACAGAGAAGAGAACTCCAACAAGGGGCAAAAATGCAGCCCCTCTCAACCAGAGGAACCAAACCACATCCATCTGTGGCTAGAGAGTATCCCACCAGCTCCAGCTGGGAGGCTTTGAGTGTAAATGCAGATTTTTACAGCATTTCTAGACACTGGCCATTGCTAGACAGTACCGTGCTGGGACATGTGCCACCCTCCCCTGTGCCCAGCCCTTGGGGAGAGCACACCAAGGACAAGGTGGCAAGTGGTCCTCACTCTGCAGGTGGGCTGTGACTTTCTAACTCAATTACATATCTATAGGCAGAACTGGAGAAAAGGGAAAAAGGCAAGGAGATGTCTTTCTAAAGGAGGTGGCCACAGTAACACAGACCAACTGCCCAGAGCATGTTCCAGCACATTCAAAAGTCACTGAGCAAGAAACCTCCCAGAGGAAATGTTTTGTTCCACCTGAGAGCTCCTCCCTGCCTTTGAGGAAAAACATGAACACAAACTGGTTGAGACTAAGTAGAGGCAGAGGTCCAAGGCAGCAGGCTAGGTGACAGAATACTTCTAGTGTTAGCTACGATAGCTATCATCATCATCAAAGTAAGAATCACAATCTGACTCATTATCAATCATAAAGTTGTCTTCATCAAGGTCATCATCATCATCATCATAGTCTTCCTGCCACTGTGGATCATACTCCTCATCTTCAACCTCCTTGCCACCTTCATCTGTGTTGGGGGAGTCACACAGGATGATACGTTTTTGCCTGTTGAGAAGGAGAGCATAAGAGCAGAGCCTCAGCCTCTGCTGTGAGCATCAGCTGCCACCCAGCCCCACAGCACCCTGCTGTCACTGCCTCAGCATCCCCATCCAAAAAAACTCAAGAGAGCAACTTATATACTGAGTCTGCCAGTGACAGAGCTTTCTTGATCATAGCTGCATACAAGCAGAGGTTTTGCTGCTTTCCCTACACCACTATGTCACTTAAATTGCTACCTCAAACCACAAAACAGGATGCAAATAATCAGTGTCTGTCACTCTTTTGTATGTCAGTGAGCACAGGAGAAAACTCTGCTCACCTGCTTTTTGCCTGCACTCACTCACCTTCCCCTAAATGCCAAACCATCCACTAAGAAAACTCACCCTGTACATGCAAGGGCTGAAGCAGGCACATTTGCGAGTTTCAGCTTTCTCTGAACAGCATCTCCTGAAGTCTGGAGCCCAACATGGAAATCCTGTTAGCAGGAAGGAACAGCCAAAAGAGATAGAATCAGTGTGTAATTTGGGGTGTATTTTGTGCTGCAAACCCCCACCCTGCACACACACAATCCTGAGTCTATCTCCTAAGCTGATCAAGCCCTTTAGTTTGCCCACAATCAAATTAGACCAGAGCAAGACAAGCCACAAACAGCCAGGAGGCCTTCACCTGTGTGGAGTGCCTGAGAATTGCAAAGAGACGCTCCTTGATCTGCCGCACCAACTCCAAACTCACGTGGAAATGTTCTGCTTTTAGGAGCTGAAGGGAAGTGGTCAAGTCCTGGTACTGCAGCAGGGTTTCCTCTGCAATTCAAGGCCAACAAAGTCATGCTGCATCCCACACTTTTGAGCAGAGACTAAGTCCTTGGCTCTGACTGTGAAACCAGCCATAGCTGCTTAGAATTCCTGTGCATGTGCATTCCTCTTTCAGAACAGAACACGTTGCTCTTTACTGCATCAATCTCCACTGGCAGCCAAACTGCTCCAGTGGACTCCCTCAGAAATGACATCAAGAAGGCAAAAATGGGCTGGGAGAAGTGAGGCCAGCTGGGTGCTGGTATATGTGCCACTGCCCCACTACAGAGCTGCTGTTCTTTGACTACAGCTGGAAATGCTAGGCACAACTTCAAAGAGGCTGCAGGACTTACCCAGAAGGATCTGCAGAGCATTAGTGAGCAGCTCCAGACTCTCAGTCTGCTGTTCCACAATATCCATGCTCTCAGTGTCCTGGTTATAGTAGCTGTAAACACAGGAGTAGGCCAGCACCTGGAAAAGTACAGATCACGTTGTTATGCACTCTCCTTCAGCTTCAGAGTGGGCAAGGGAGCAGCATCAAACCCTTCCAGACATTATTATCAGTGGCCTCTGGCCATAGTCCAGTGACCCCCTATGACAAGCAACAGCAGCACCAGACTAACTAGAGCTACTGGCAGGACTAGAAACAAATGTGCAATTATTTTATACTGAAATCTAAAATAACTGATTATTCCCACCTGCAAACCATCACAAGAACACAGACTGTAAATGCCTAACAAGTGTGACAGACCAGCAGGCAGAGTAAAACTCATCAGCACACAGGACTAGACAATGCTGGGCAGCCCAGGCTGAACAAAAGTGGCAGTGAACTAAGAGAACGGACCCCAAGGGAAGCAGGCATAGTGCTATACAGCACAAAGAGCCCACAACAAATTTCATCAAGTGGCATTTCATCAAGTGGCAAACTCCAGTTATGAATGAATGACTCCTAAAGCCATATAGGCACCCAGCAGGGAATGAGATCACTGTTTCCATTTAAAGAAATGGACCAGAAAATCCAGTAGCAGCAGCAACAAGCAACAGTGATATGTACCCCAGAAAACTCAGGGGCTACCACACTGAGAAGACAATAGGGTCAGGCACCCTTGTCTCACATGCCTCTCTCAAAATCAAGCCTACCTGCAAAACCAAGGTGTATATGCAAAGTCAGTACTGCAAAGACAATTCCCACCTCCTGCTGATGTTTCAGGACAGAGCAGGAATTACAGGCCTAAGGTATCACAGGCTTACTGCACACACACAGTGGCTGCACTACAAATAATTTTTAATGTGGCTATGAGGACATGCAGTAGGTAACTCACTGCTTCCAAAATATCTACAGTTCATTAAATGAAGTTAAGAAAATTGTAACATGAGCATCAAGAGGAACTTCCTGACTGTAATACAGGATCAGGAGAGCTTTCCAAGTACCTTCACTGGGGCATTTCTAATAGCAAGGGACCAAACCCAGTGGAAGAAAACCCAAAATGTAGGCTTTGTGTTGATTCCATGGTGTCAGCTTGAGCTGAGCTCCAAATCCTATGACCTGACTGTAAGGAACACTGCAAACAGAGCTCAACTCAGACTCAAAGCATGGAAGGACTGACACGAGCTCTTCCCCTGTTCTGATGCTACTCCTCCCCTCAAGCTTCCTCTGTCTCCTGTTGTTTGGAGAAGAGCAAGGTTGGTGTCTCTTCACTTTAAGAAAGGCATGAAACACACCAACAGAATTAAGTCTAAACCTCAGCAAGACTATATTACCCAGCCTTACCTTCCGTGCCTGTTCTAGCACTTTGCAGGCATCAAGAACAAAGGTCAAGTTCCTAATTTTTGGCATCTCTCTGATGGAAGAAATACTGTTCCTCAGACTTACAGCAAATTCCTGCAATAACCAAAGGAGGGGAGGAAAAAGTCAACATCACTGTCCAGCTCCACAAGATTGAAAAAAACAGCACCTTCCACACAAATAATTGCTAAGCATTCTGAAGTGCCATCCCAGAAAATGCAGGCAGCAGCAAAGCATTTCATGCATACAACTATGAAATTTCCACTGTGCCATCACTTCAACCTTTTTACAGCACCTCAGCTCTGAGCCTTCAGTCACTATTGTTTCCAACTCCTGCACCACTCTGAGCCCCTGGGCACCTCAAATCAGGTGCTCAGTTTCCACAACAAACTGAATAGAAGAAAGCAGCCAAGGATTACTCCTTAATGCCAGAGCCAGGGCAAAATGATCATCCAGTGATCCCCACCTGGATGTGAAGCCTGCTTCTAAGCAGAGAAGACCCTGACACCACAGGAAGTGCCCTGCTCACCAGGGCTGAGCAGCAGCCAGCATCTGCAAAGGAAGGAGGAGGCCTTACCCTTGCATGGTGATGAAAGGTGCATCTCTCATTGTAATCCTGGAAACGCTTCTCCTGCCAAGCTGCTTTACTCACCTGAAAGGAAAGGTACGGGAACTTGTAGCAATTTCCCTCGAGTACCAGGGCCACCTGGAAATGCCGTATTACTGGCAAATTCATAAAGCCCAGAGTAATGGGCCCAAGTGGAGATCCTTGCCATCTCTAAGAGGCTACAGGGGCCTCTGAACACAAGCATGAACCAAGGAGATACAGCAAGCCACTCACCATAGCAGAGCAGTTGTAATAATCCTTGTGATTCGGCCTCCAGGGCTTGAGGCAGCGCCAGCAGAAGCCGTGATTACACTTGGCACATGTCATACTGCAGAAGGACAGTGGGAATCAGCCCTGACAGCCACTTGCAGACAGCTCCTGACAGTGCTCCCCTACACCACAGCCAGGGACTGTGCCACCCAGTCACAAACACAGTAGCAAACAAAATTGTATACTCACTGCAGGCACCCCTCGTTTTTCTCTATCTGAGCCTGGCAGTTTGGGCAGTGCTTTGAAATGAGCTTAGCCAGATGTTTGCTTTGGGCTTCACTTGTCATTCCCTCATAGTATCCACCATCATCTACCCACCTAGACATGTGGCTGCAGCTGGCAGGATAATGGGCCTGAGAGAGAGAAAAAGACTATCAGTCAATCACACAAAAGCAGAAGGGTACGTGCCAAACCTGAGACATTACAGCCTGTGATCCAGCTCAGCCTTGCCTCTGGGAAGTTGCAGTTGAAGCAGGATATCCAGGAGCACTTGGAACAGGCTGCTCCATAACCAAGTCCATCCTTAAGGAGGATCTGATCACAGCCCTGAGGGTTGGTGCACCATGTCAGGTTGGAGCAACACTCAACATAGTGTCTGAGGAGGGCTTTTTCGTACTGCAATGAGAAACCAGGAAGGAGATTTAAGCCTGAGAAGCTGCATGGTTAGGTCTTAAAAGCAGGTCTGGTGCTCCAGGCTATGCATCTCACCAAACAGCTGCTCAAACAAACAAACACAGCACTCAAACAACAAAACAGCACTCAGTCAGTTTACTCTTTCATTCCCTCTGTGTTCATTTTTCTATCCTCCCTGTGTTGTATCTGGAAGCTGTTTAATTTCAGAGAATTGCTGAGGTTGGAAGGCATTTCTAGGAATAAAACCTGATCCAACCTCTCCAGCTTAAAGCAGGAGTGTGTCTAGTTGGATTTTGAATATACCCAAGCAGAGAGACTACAAACCTCTCTGCCAAAACTGGTCCCATATCTCACTAGCCTTACTATTGGAAAAAAACAAAACAAACCCAACCTCAACAACCAGATTCCTTATATTTATATATAATTTCAGCATTAGATCTTCATACAATAATCTAGTTATTTTGAGGTCACAATTGGACCAGAGACCTCCACAGATTATTGCAACCCAAAATATTCTATGAGTGTATGTGTGACTCTGTAAAGGACATTAACACTCCAGCCACACCACTTACTGATCAAAAGGAAAACATAACATCTCAGTGAGAGCACCATAGCAACTTGCTATTTATGTCCACCTGCAATAATTATTTCTTTTTATAAAACAGTCACAGCAAGAGGCTACTAAATCCTGCTTTCAGACAGGTGTGACTATGGGATTTGCAAAGGCAGTAAGGACTAATTGTCCATATATATGCACTAATTCTCCAAACACTTCGTATAAAAAACAAGACAAAAGATACACCTGTCAAACAACAGAGCAGAGGAAGAGAGACTGTTATGCCCAGCAATTAACAAAGAGTCTGTCATGTGACAGCTACAGCTCTGCTGTGGGGAGGGCATTCAACTCTAAAAACTGAAAGAACAGAAAAAGTAGCTTCTGCTTTAGAACAAGCAGCTACTGCTGCAGCCTGATGACCATGCCCTAAGGTAAGCAGAGCTCAGAAAGCCTGGTTTAGAGACATCCGTAGACTCACACAGACTTAGAAGATTAAATCTGATGTGGTAATTCCTGCCAGCTTCACAAAAACCTGAACTGCTCAAAGCCAGAGACTGATGAAGAGAAAGGACATAGAGGTCACTGATCCAGCAGTAAAATGAAATTGCTCACGTTTTTATCTGGCCTTGATTTTTATAATATTATTATTATTATTACTACTATTAATTATTATTATTTAATTGCTGCCAGCACACCAGTAGAGGATTCTTGTCATGAGCTGCTACCACAGCTCTCATCTAGTCCTGAACTAATGATGTCCCTGAAATGTTGGTTGCTAGAGATATGTTTAGAGGAAATACCACTGTGCTCTTTTGTTGATGTTATGCTTTCCAGAACAGCTGGTATTGACCATAATCAGAGACAAAAGACAAAATCTGGCTGGCCACCATTGTCATGCTGCCAGTCTTGGTAACAGGAAGGGGAAAAGCAGTAACAAAATTATCTGATAGTGCTGACCAAAACGTAAGAGAGCTTGGACACCCAGCAACCACCCCTCCTGCTTCACCTTGGCTATAATCTCCTCAGAGGACACAATGAAGTAGATGAAGGCGGTGGTTGGCTGAGCACGGCACTCGGATATGGGACAGGTGCAGTTGACAACCATGTTCTGCTCAATGCGAGTTGTGAGATATTCCCTCCAACAGGGCTGCCAGGGCACAGGAGTTGACATCAGACCTCAACACAGCCATATGACCCTGGAAGCCCTCCCCACCCAGCAGAGGGTGTACAAAACCCCACAGATCATGGGTAAGTACCCCAAAGCACAAAAGTGGGAACAGACAAACCAGGGGTGAAGGATCACAACAAAAAAGTGAGCTTAGAAAAGAGACTGGATAAGCTCTGAAAAATTCCCTGGTAACACCTTCAGACAAAGAACAGCAGCTCCAAGTAGACAGCAGCAATTCCCTGTCAAGTAGCAGGAACCAAAGGCCCCAGGACCTTCACCTTGCAACAGTAGTGCATGCAGCAAAGGGTTGGTGGCTTCTCAGTGGGACACAGCTGGCTCACACAGACTGGGCAGTGCACTCCAGGACTTGGGGGAGGCTGGACATTCTGCACTTGCAGCCCTGAGGAGATGAACAGGGCCTCGCGGTTCTCCACATAGCACTGGATCAGGAAATCCACATTCCACCTACAGTGCATGAGGAGGTGCTGAGCAACATCATCCGGTATGCTCAGAGTATCCTGGACCTGCTGTACTGTCTGGTTCATGAGCAGCTTTGCCTCCTCTGGACTGAGCGTGTGCCCCATTGGCACCTGCAGCATTGCCATGAGATATTCTTCCGCACTGTCTGTGCCAGGATTCCACCTGACGTGGAGAAACGTGTCATGTTCACGCAGGGTGGAGATGCACCCCCCTCCAAACCGGCTGACATGCACCCCTACCAATGCAGGCTGTCTCTGCTGTCCTCCTCCAGAGATGCATGGGCTGGCCTGCACTGGAAAGTCATCTGTGCTTGGCCGCCAAGAGGTGTTATGGCTTCAGCAGAGATGTATTCCAAGACATGAGGCCTCCCCTCCTGGCGCCGGAGATAGCCCTGGTTCAGCAGGTGCAGGATGCAGGACAGCACGTCCACGCTGTGGCAGCAGAAGCTCAGGAACTGCACCCCTGGCCCCAACTCGCCCTTTTGACAGGCATCGATCACCTGCAGCAGCAAGGGAGCCCCACTGCAGTGGCTGCAGCCCCCGTGCAGCCCCTGTGCCCCCTCTGTGCCCCCCCCTTACCCTGAACACCAGATTGTCGATGTGCAGCTGCTTCTCCAGCTTGAGGATGCGGGTGATGAGGCAGCACAGGACATTCCTCTTCCTTTCCAGGGCGCTCACCTCGGCCCTCTCTGTCCGCAGGTACCTCTGCTGGGGCAGCAGCCTCAGCTGGCGGCCGGAGCTCTGGGCCAGGGCTGCCTGGTTCAGCCGCAGTGCACCTGGAGCCAGCACCCAACCTGGGCTCAGCCAAGCCTCGAGCTGGGCCTGAAGGAGCCCCAGGACACAACGTGTGGCTGAGGGACCCAAGCTGGGCCCCCTATGGCTGCCTGCACCCCTGGCCATCCCAGCCCCGTCTCCCGCATGTGGCCCCAAGCCACAGCCACGCACACGGCCCCTGGCCCTGGCCCACGCACAAACCCGAGACCCAACCGCCCACGCCGCCCCACACCCCATGCATGGCCCCGAGCCCCACCCCACACCTCACCCCCAGCCCTACACTGGCCTCAGGCCCCACCCTGACACACACCTGTGCCCCGAGCACCAACACACGGACCCAGCCCCTCACCAGCCCTACCAGCTCATGCACCCCTAAGCCCAGCACCCCCTCGGGG